TTGTATATAAGCTAAGTATGTCTGAAGTACATGATTCACATAAAGGGGACTAATATCGGTGTTCTGAACTGAATCGGCTGGATTAGGTGAAAAGCTACTTTCTCAGCGGATTATTAAGACTCAAAGTTGATTTTAGGCTGCACGTACTAGTTTATGGGTCATTGGTCTAGTCAATAAGTCAGTGTTCTAATTGACGAATTGGCCACATGATAACAGGCTATAAGGGCATAACATTAATTATATCATTAGGATATTGTAGTATACTCCAAAAATTATGTTAAAATCTTGAAAACATTTCATGTGTTACTACTATTGAACTATAAAAACTGCTTTGATTTGTTCATTTGTTTGTTTATTTGTATGGTGGTTTTTTCAAACTTCATACTAATCGTCTCTATCTAACATTTCCAGTAGTTTGATTTAGTGAGTTGAATCTAAGCATAGATTGTGATTTGATCTGATAGTTCCACACTTTGAAATACTCCGATATCATAGTACAGATCAAAAGTTCAAAAACAATGTCATATACATACGAGATTCCACTATACTGTAGTGGTATTTAATGTAAAGCTGTATTTTATGAAAGATTTGATTTATCCTGTTGTTATTATTCTTGACTGGATTTTAATTCGTTTTAATTAACATATGTGCATCCTGTGTTGATTGTCTTACTATTGTAATATAATGGCTAACAATGAAATCCAAGAAGCACATTTAATCCTGTTCAGGATTCCACAGCTGTATGAATCTGGATCTCAGTGTTAATGTTCAGACTGAGAGTTGAAGTCAGTTATGTTCGATTTATATGCACATTATGTCATATATTGAGTTCAAATTGCAACTTACTTGTACAATGGGTGTGCTATTTATAGGGAGGTTTAAGTTATCCTATTGTTGATCAGTTCCAAATAGGTTGAACCAAGCTTCATGTATTGGATTGCCACAGCCTATCTATTTATATTTCATAAGAAAAAAGCATTCTATTCAAAGCATATTACAGTGATGTTATTATAAATGTTACATCTTTAATTTATTACGAAGATAGTAAAGTGAAAGTCGCAATCAAAGAGGAGAGTCAAGCTATATAGGTTTCGTTTTTTTAGTGTATTTTCATTTGATAATATCATTTGAGTTTCAGTTCTGTTTTGTATCAGCTGTAAACTATCATCCTGAATAGTGACACTTAAGCAGTGACAAATTATTGTCCATTGACTTGAGAAATAAGGTGACCATTCGCTTATAATATTAAATAAGTGAAGTTGAAAACCATGTAATTAGGAAGCTTAAGTGATAGTTTTTAGCTGAAGAAATCCAACCATGTCTAAAGTAAAACAAATAATTTTCAATGGGATTGAATTTTATTGTGTTTTATCAGGATTTAGTTGATACAATTAGTTACAACAACTGAATAATGATTAGGTAGTCAAAAACTCACTATTAGATCTAAATCTTCTGAGCTCGATCTATGAAAATATTGTAGATGCACATTAATGACGAACTTCATGTCTAGTTTCAACTGCATCCTTACAGGAGTAAGTATATGTCTTTCAATTTCATTAAGTTTTGCCATCACTACTCAGATAAGTTTGTACCCTTTTATTTGCTATTACTTATTTACTAACTTAGGCCTATTAACCTTAATCGAGCATAGGCCACCGACCAGCATTCTACAACCCATTCTGGCCACCGCCTGCCTTTCCATTTCTATCTAATTGTTCTTCATTTTTCTCATATCTCTCTCCATTTCTCGACGTAATGTGTTCTTTGGCCTTCCTCTTCACCTTTCGCCTTCAGGATTCCATGTGAAAACTTGCCTTGTAATGCAGTTTGGTGTTTTCCTCAATGTATGTCCTATTCACTTCCAGCGCTTCTTCCTGATTTCTTCTGACGTTGGGATCTGGTTTGTTCTCTCCCATAGTAGGTTGTTGTTAATAGTATCTAGCCAACGGATCTGCAGTGTTTTGTGTAGTCAGCTGTTAATAAACACTTGTATCTTCTGGATGATGGTTTTCGTAGTTCTCTAGGTTTCCGCTCCATACAGTAGAACCGTATTGACATTTGTAGTGAAAATCCTGACCCTGGAGTTGGTTGAGAGTTGTTTTCAGTTTCAGATGTCCGTTAGTTGTGAATATAATGCTCTTGCTTTGCCGATCCGTGCCTTCACATCTGCATCAGATCCACTGTGTTCATCAATGATGCTGCCCAAGGATATAGAGGTTTTTACATCTTCCTAATCTTCTCCGTTAAGTGCGATTGGATTGTTGCATGCTGTGTTGTATCGGAGAATGTTGCTTTTCCTTTGGGTTGTTAAGACTTACTGCTGCTACACTGGTCGGCTTCTCTTGCATCTGTTGTTGCGTGTGCGATAGAAGAGTCAGATCATCTACGAAGTCTAGATTGTCCAGCTGCATCCTTGATGTCCACTGTATCCTGTGCTTCCCTTCAGATGTTGACGTCTTCGTGATCCCGTCAATCACCATGAGAAAGAGGAAAGTTGAAAGTAAGCAACCTTGTCTGACACCGATCTTTACTTTGAACGAGTTTGTGAATTGTCGCCCACGCACGATTTTTCAGTTTAATCCATCATAGGAATTCTGTATGATATTGAGTATTTTCTCAGGTACGCCGTAGTGTCAAAAAAGCTTCCATAGGGTAGTTCCGTCCACGCTATCAAATGCTTCTTTGTAGTCAATGAAGTTTATTTGCTATAATCAACCAAAATATTGCAAAAAAAAGTATTTTGAGTGTTTTAAGCAAATAATATGTAAACACAATAAATGATTTGTATTTTAACAGCAATAATTTCATTCAATAATTTAGTTTTGTATTCTTATTAAAAAGAACTATCTAAGAAGAAGCGGTTTTCTATACTCACTCACTTCAGATTCTTGGATTGTTGATAACACTTTTAAAGTCTCTAATATCATGAAATGCTAGTGTTTACATACATCATTCTTCATCCTACCTTGTTTCAATTTAGTTCCCAGTTAAACTTACATTCAATGAATACCCATAAACTTTCCATTTAATTCAAACACTTGATCGTTTAAATTGAAAACAAATTAATTAAGTGATGATGATTGATGATGATAAAAAAAAGTTTCCCAATAAACTAAAACGATAAGTCTGTAGGAATATTTTAGCCTACAGCTACCATTTGACCTTGGATAAGCAATGTGAACATAAATGTTTGTGTGTATACGATTGTTATGGAAAAAATACTGATGGTATGTTGCTCTGTAAAATGAAACATCATATTATTGATGAACTTATGTATCATAAAAAATAGGTTACTATTATTTCAGATGATAACACATGGTGGACAGCAAAGTTCTTGAGTGTCTGATCATGATATATTGGCTAGTTTTAGTCGAATTTAGATCTTGGTTATATCATATACAATCAAAACAGTCCCCAATGGTCAGAGGGAGTTGACACGAAAATCTGATTAGTCTGGGTTTTTTCATAGTTACCATTCATTAACAAGGTGTATCTACAGCGTCGAAGAAGTTGTTGCATCCATTAGAATTTTGAGGCATTGCCAATGATCTGTTGATACCTCGGCTTTTATGTTGTTTACAGTTGATTGACTAATCGAATTCTGTCGACCAGATGGAGTTCAAAACACTGTATTGTTAAAGAGTATTACCCCACTTACTGTGATGGCTTCCTTAGATTAACGGTACCTTAATCAGGAAAGTTGTGCTACAAATTAATGTTATATAACTATAAAATGATAACACAGTAGTGAAGTTTTTGAACTCAATGCATCACAATGCCATTTTCAACTTAGTACTCAAACGTGTGTACATGTATTTTTTACTAAACGTTTTAGGCTACTTATTAGTAGTGCGATTTTCAAAGTAGTATTTAGTGAAGTGAAATTTTAAAAAACTTTTCAGTCCACTGGTATGTAGGCTTCTTATGATGAACCTATATATGACTTCAGATTATAACTAGAGATATCTAAGCCAATTCAGTTGGCTATCGCCAGTGAATATCTTCATGGATGGTGTTATCTAGTGAGTTGTATCATGTGAATTAACAAGTATACAGCAGACAACTATGATTATTTCGGTTCCATGCATCGTAGATTATTTTGAAACCTTAATTCTTTTCTTAAAGTCAACATTCAAAACAGTTTTTTTCAACTTTTTCGGGTCACTACTTCAACAATATGAAGACTAAAATTCATACAGTTGGTTGGGGTCTTGTTCTAATTTGATGTAGACGCGGTAAATTTTGAATCAGTTTGATAACAGTTAACATTTTCCAAGAGTAATGCAGTTCAATAAAAAATGTTAACTGTATACAGAAACATAAATATAATATCTTTTATATTGTGTCAACTGAAGGTTGAAAAATAATCTTATCACTAGACAGCGATTCTTCTCATTTAAGTACACTAAAATCTGACCACATTTCTGTAAAAATCGTTTCGTCTTCCGAGATAATCAAGCAGTTTTATTGTTGAAGTATGTAAATTTATGGAAACTGCATTCTCTGAATTAAATGATTTAGTTGTGAAGATTTTTTATATGCTTAAATAACATTGTCGGTACAAACTTCTGGTAGAGGGGAGTCATGAAGTTTTCTCTACAACTGACTAGCAGCATGCTCTGATGATTTTGAATATGATTGGTTGTTTTTGACACTTGTCTTATTAGGACTGATTGGAAAGCAGGTTTATAATCTTTACTTCCTTCGTTAAGGTTAACACTTTCCTAATTTAACACCTTATTTTTTATTATATTATTTATGTGCTGTCTTTTTAAGGTGATTAGTTGTACAATGAAATAGCCTTTATTGAGGCAGTAAAACTTCCCACACCAAAGACAAACCACCCCTCCACTTAACACACAGGTATGTGTCGAAAGCTATTCAAATATTGCTTCCCGGATACTTTTCAATCACAAATGAGTCTTACTTTTCATAGAGTTAATCCTCAACATGTACCCCAATTAATCTATGAGCATATCATAAGATGAACAATATACAAGTGTAATCATAAAATATATTTCAATATTGAATACACGTAACATAGATCTAATCATTCTTCAGCATTTTATAAGTTCCTGAAAAAGTAAACCATTACGGTTTATAAAGTGTTAGTTAAAAAATTAATCATTTTCTAGCACTCCTCTTTTTACCTGTTCCTGCAGATCTCGCTTTCTTTGATTGTGGACGTGGATAAGCATCGACTAGCCTTTTGACAAAATCTTTGATATAATATGTAAAACAAAAAACGTCGTATATATATATTAAATCTTTAGAATAGCGTCGAATATGTGCACTTCATTGATTTAAACAAAACGAAAATATTATTCAATGTCTTATACACTACGCTGGCGGCCTGCATGAATATCTGAGTTACCTGTTACTACCTTCTAGATATTTAAACAAGTTATATGTTTCCTTATTTAATTTAGCAGATCATTATGTCAGTTGATTACATAACCTATTCAGGTGCGTTTGTGAAAAGTTTACGACCTTTTGCTGTACAAGTTTCAAAAATTTACAGTCGGAGACATCGTGATGGCTTGTAATATGCATTAAAAAGAATGAACATCATTCGGATGTCGACTACTGAATTGCTAACATCTAACTGGCAATCGCTCAATATTCATCTTCAATATCGATCAAAAAATAAGGAACAGAAACTCGCTGAGAATTCTATATTGTACCAAAAATATAATATTAAATAAAGCCACTAATAATAATAGATTAATTTTTGTCATTGTATCATTGTTTTTAGCATTATGTGGCAAGAGGTTTCACGTAATGGACATTTTATTTCAAATTATCCGAGCTCTTAAAGTGATCGTTCAGTTTAAAAAATGTCCGTCGTAGTAATAATACCAATAATAGTCTAAAGGTTACGGCCATATCATTCCTATTTGAATGAATATGTTATCAAACGTTTTTGCGAAAATCTGACGAAGTGCATTAGTAATCTTATAGAATCAGCTAATTTACTGATTAAAGATGAACCAATAATACTAACAAGGTTGTTTACTTGTTTTCTTAAAGCCTCTGATAACTGATCTGAATATAACTTTCTGTCTTCCCTAGTACAAGCCCACCTCAAGGCCTAAAAGCATCAGGTTCGGTCCCTGCAGAAGTCACAGATCAGTACACCAGAGAAGTTCATTACTAGCACGAAATAGTTGTCCAATAGTTTCCAATTTTCTGTGGTTCTCTAAGTACAGTCAGTTTGTGGTTTAAACAACGGGATCTATTTTCTAATTAAGTACTATGGTCATCAACTCCGCCTGGAGCCCCTCTGGGGCTACTGCCTGTCCCAAGCCCGGATAAAGGAGGAGGGTTTGGCATGGGGTTAGTGACCTTATCTCGTAGGAAACTAATTCGCTGAAAAAACGCTAACCAGAAAAAATATGGCCATCAGATTGTCTTGTCTATCTTATTCAACACTAATGTTTCTAGAAAGTTCACATTGATTAGGATGATGTTGTGCAAATTCTACGTATAAACAAATCTTAAAAGTTTTTTCAGTAAAGACAAACAGTTTATGATGTGTTCCTTTTGCTACCTCAGTACCCACTTCCTCCAAATCACATACCATCATAAGGCCATTTGCCATCTGTTCCAGGTGCAGCTTCTTTAAAAAATTCATTACACTCCTTATCTGTAAAACAGTCACCGACAGTTAACAGCATTGTTTTCATTGGTTCTGTATCCACGACACCAGATTCATTTTTATCAAAGAACTAGTAAAATGTTTGTAAGGAAAGTCAAAATAAGGTAAAGTTAATGAAAATGTTATGTATTCAAATGGAGTAAGTAAAGTGAAATCACGTTTTACTGAATATACTACTTACCATCAATAAGTACTATTTCTGGATTGTTATGTTCCATAGAATGACATTCAATGTTGATGTTAATCTGAAAAAATGTTACCTAGACAGTGCTATAAGTCTATTTAGCCTTGGTTAGGGGTTTTTTAAAAGTGCACTTCCACAAAGTTCACTTGGGATAGAAGTGATAACATTCAGGTAACAGCAGCGAACACGACGAACTGAGAATTAGTAATTTTGTCAGAGTAAAACGTTCGACACTAAACAGTTAATTCATATTAGTTAAGTGTTGTTTATTACTGTGCATCCAGTAAAAAAACATATCATCAAAATTTCCCAGTGAACAAATCAATATTGGTCCATGGTATTTCATTATGGCTACTTAATGTTATCAATGAGTACATGTTCTCACTTCTCCTCATTTGACCGATCTCATAGGCCACAGTGTTTATTGAAGATTACTTAGTATAATCATCTTCGCAGTAATTATTAATTGAAATATTTAGCAGAGGAAAATAATTGTCAAACGGTGTTGTCCCTTGCCTACGTCAGAGAATAACAAATCCAATTCCACAGTATTTACCTAATGATTGCTGTAGACACAAGAATGTATACAGTAATCCACCTTTACGCCAATCAACAGACAGTCTATTTTGCGAGAGAATTAATGCAACCTGCAACAGTATTGTGACTTTAGGAAGCTTATTGATTTTTCAAGGCTTATTATCAGTTGTCCAATCTTAATATTGTAGAAATATCATTACATAACTTCGTTAATCTATGTATGAGCGAATTTGTCCACACTAAAGCTTCCTCACTGAATGTTCTTTAGACTACTATCCTCAAAGTTTATTGTCACCTTCAAAATGTACACTAATAAATTCACTGAAGAAAAACTATGGTTAAGAAAAGTCATACGTAAAAACCGCCATATATTTTAGTATTCTTTTTTAAACAGCTTATTATTACTTATTGAATCACTAATGAAGTGATTTCATTACTAGTCTGCTACAAACCATGTAAATTGAAACTAAACTGATTAACTGGAGGCCAAGTAGAATATTTGGGCTACCTGTTCCTGTCATCTAGATATTTTAACAAGTTAACTGTTTTTGTTTTGTTTTAACACATCATTATGTCTACTAACTGCACAACTTATTCAGGTGTGTTTATGAAATGTTCAAAACCTTTCTCTGTACAACTTATAAAAAAGGGCAATCAGAGACATCGTGGTGATTGAAAATATGCACTTAAAAGGATTAACATTATTCAGATATCGATTACTGAACTGTTGACATTTAACCAGCGACCACTCGCCGTGATCGATCAAGAAATAAGAAAAGGTAACCTGTTGGAATACCTTGTGCTGAGAATTCTATATTGTACCATAAATATAATATTGAGTAAAGCCATTAATAAATAATAATACATATAGAGTAATGAGCAAATGTCAAGTCTAACATGATCATATTTTACTTTGTGATGACAAAAGGAATTCTTCCTAATAAATTTAAACAATCTGAATACCTAAATAAAAATATTTCTATTGTATATTTAATGTGAAAATGTATTAAAGATGTTTATTTTCATGGAGTTTTGTTCTGTGAGCTGGATGGTTTATTCATGGAGCTTTCATCGTTCTTCAGAACGACATTATCAGCAAAAACTTCATGTAGAAGTTTGTAGAAGAACAACGATGAAAACGTCACGATCAAACCATCCAGCTCAGAGAATAAAACTCCATCAAAATCATTCACCTGAGCTACAAATCTTCTACACCAGCTCAAGACGTTTATTTTAAAATTTTATGAGAAAATTCGAAAGTGGTTTGATTGGCTCGTCCCTAAAAGGTTACTTTCACTGATCCTACTTTTTTCAAACTACCATTTAGAATACTAGAAAATATAAATGAGTTATTGCAAGTACATTTTAATATTTAAACTTATAATATAGTGAACGAGAACATAAATGGGGACAATCGAATGTATTTGAACACAAAATTACAGAAAATCTTAGTAAATTCTAAGACCTATACAGTAAATACTTCATTTGGAAATATCAATCAATCGTTTCAGACTTCACTGTTCCTCTATTTCCACAGCAATCATTCATTGTTCTCATTCTCTTTTCTTCGATCTTTTTAACTTTCTACTGTCAGATATTTCACATTCCATAGATGATACATATTACTTATATCTGTGGATATCAGTAGCACATACCACAATAATTCACATAATTCTATATTATACAATATACAACCTCATAATAGATTACAGTTTAAACATTTTAATACATAAATCACTGCCATTTTGATACAAGACTAATTAACAGATCTGTAGTGTATTAACGTGTCATTCATAACAATTATTGAGTACAAAATAGTTATACAGATAGGACAATGAACAAAAACAACTGTTCGATTGATCTATATTTGGAATGTACACAAAACTATTGAAATTTCCTATAAAATATTACCTCGATTTGTATTAATTATCATTAACTAACATTGGATAGTAATTATCATACATAGTCAGAAACTAGCCCAATTTATCTAGAGACTAATCATAATGAAACCTGGTTGTTGTTGTTGTTGTTTTCATGATTTATGATAATAACTCACCAGAAATGCATTATTCAATTGATTCAATCTTTCCTCTCTTGTATAGGAATATGTTTGAATTATTTCAGTAAATTGATCCAAATCTATAGCAATACTTTCTATAAATTGAAAGAGGAAGTATGAACGTTACAAATGCCGTGATGAAAATCCACTCATTATTTAAGTTGAAAAAGGATTATTATTAATTCTGTCAATGTGTGTGAAATATAAGTTCAAAAACAAACGAACAATGATCTGTTTAAGGAACGATCCTTGATGAGACTATAATTTATAGACGATCTTTTAGCAACATCAAAATGATCTTGGAATGTCCATCTACTTACTAAGGTTAAATGATGGTTATAGATTAGTGTAAAGAATTAGGATTAGGATCTACAGTTGAACGTTAGGATTAGGAATTAGATTTGACGTTTTCATTACGAAATGACGTCAGCTATAATGCCAAAATGATGTTTAACCAAATGAGTGAATGAAGTTCGCGCCAAAATTCAAGACCTGTTATCTTAAATATGATTGGTTCTTCCATAAATCATAGTCTCACTCTATGTTTAGTGTTAACAGCAGTTAATCAACGTCCAAAATAAGAACTAAGAACACACAAATATGAAAGTTGTTGTTATCAGACAAAGATTCAAGGAATGTAAAAAAACAACTGAGAATGACTGTTACAAGGGCTGAGGGAAAGTAATTATAGTGATAAATGCAATGAATTTTACAATATGTTCAGAAATAATTATAAATAGAACTGTTTACTGAATATTAACAAGTAGTATAAAGCAATACACAAAAAAAATTTGAATGAGAAAAGAACAAGGACAGAGTATGAAAACCGACTTAGCACTATTCGTGATTCAAATAAGCGCAATGAGGAAATAGTTATGATTTAATTAAACTAATAGTAATGTGTTAGTTGGTCGGAGTCAGTTTGAAAGAAGCCTGGATCAAAGTTTCGTGCTAGCTGCCACTGGTCACCAACGGGTATCTGCAGTCCTCAGGGCACTGATGCCTCAGGTAGGTTTAGAGTCTAGATTATTCAGTGTTACAGCTTGAGATGTTAACAGTGAGCTACTTGCGTTGAAACTGAGTTTACATCAGCAATAAAGAGTAGATAAATATGATATTGATTACTACTCGTCAAACACTATAGATATAACAATCCTACAGGTCAGCACGGAACCAATAACCCCATGGAAACGTCTTAGACTGTGAATCTGAAGAATCTGAATCTGAATCTTAATGATAAAGTCAATCCACTGAAAACTGGAGATGTGTTTTGTTGACAAGTACAAAGTAGAACAAAACGTAAAGCCCTGTCGATTGCCATTAATCACATAATACTGATCAACATTTATGATCACCCTTTGATGCTAAATTTCGAAATGATGGATCATGTTTTCAATCCAGTTATATGCTATTAATGATACTGAATTTTTCTCACAGCAAATGCATTAACTACAAAGTTCTCATTGTTACTATAAACAACATTATCCAAGCTGATTGCAATTAGAAGTTGAATTTTCCATCGTTTTCACAAATGTAAATTCAGTTTACCTTGAGATACTTGTTATTGCTTGTCATTAGCGGCGTCGCTTTTATGTACATAGAGATTGTGTTGAGTTCATCTCCAAAGAATTAATTGGATGATTTCTGATTCATTTAGTTAAGAAATTGAGTCTATATTGGTATACTTTTAAATACCTTTGTGTGAAATGAGTGTTATCTTTTTAGCCGTCAGTAAAACTTTAGTTTAAAAACTATTCATCAAACGTGTTTCAGTTTTCTTAATCATTTAATACCCCGAGTAAGTCCTAATAAATCACATTCTGTTGCTAGGTCATATCCAATTTTGAGCTGGCTTACCTTAAGTGAGCAGTTTATTCGCCTGATGAAGGTTACCACTTCATATCTTGATCTGGATTAATCCGATAACTTATATACGTATTCATACTGATTTAAGCAATCTGGCTTCCTACATCCTTTTACTCTCTTTCTCTGGTTGAGTAAATGTTTCGGATGTGTATACAAATAAATAAATCGGACGGGAAAATATAAAATTATTCTACAGAAATGATGTCTATTTATATTCAATAAAACTGTCTTCCAACTAAGCTGGTAACCTTGAAAATCTCATAACTTTGATGTTCACTTAAATGCATATCCGGAATTCAACTTTTACCTAACATTTTATGCATAATAGACATACTAACAGTTTGTTATAAACTATAGTTCAGTGTTTCAGTTACTGAATTTTTGTCATATTGAATATTAAATATGGTTAATGTTTAACTATACAGCTGAAAATGAATGCATAATTTGGTGGAAGATTAGACAGTTTTTAAATGAAACAACTTCTCATCTAGTTATTAGAAGGGGTTTTGTGGAGATTTTTAGAAATTTCACTGATTTAAATCATGAGTCAACTGAAGTTAGACCACCTGGAAGCACTGGACGGCTGTTTCGTCCTAGTACGAGACTCCTCAGCAGTGCGCATCCATGATCCCGCACCCCGCGAGATTCGAATCCAGGACCTATCAGTTTCGCGTCAGGCGCTTAACCAACTAGATCACTGAGCCGGTATACAACAGTGTTAGTGTCTAACTTCAACCATTCCACGAGGTTGCGCCACCGTACACCATTGTCTTCAGTGAGTTACTAACTCACAACAGATCTGGTTGTTTAATTTTACTTATTCATGTGAAATAGATCTTCTATAATATGATTTTCATTTTAGATGTATCAAATCAAACCACATAATTCACACAGCACCAAGGTCATACACAGTCAGTTAGCTATAATTGCAACCGAGCTATCATAGATAAGTGGATCAGTTGTTCAGCCAAGACCTATCGATTACATGTTCCTGATCAATTTAGTCTGAGTGATTTTGTATTGCGTTTGAATATCTTGCTTTATAATTAGACTGCATTTTCTCCTTCAGTCTACTTTAGACTTTACAAACATTAAGAATTTGCTTAGTAGGTGAGTCAGACCATAGACTATAAAGACTTTTTTGGAATAAAATCTATAGTTAAGGGTTTATTATTACATATCGTCAGTATGATTGAACTTATCTGTTATAACATGTTTGGTATCTGATCTAGAATTGTGGAGACAACTTTTTACAGATATGTCAAAAAATATTTTCTGTGTTTAGTTTTCTTCACAGTGCACTATATTGCGGCGTTACATACTTGGACATAACAACTATCCACTGCTACCTGATCTTCAAATGTTTCACAGTCAATATTAATGAGTGACAAGAGATAACTGATGACTATCAGTAAACAATAATAACATTGTTATTATTATTATCAATGTTATTATTATTTAAGACCATTTTCAACAAACATCTTGTATGCAATTTTATATAATTTAGGAAAGATTATTGTTGATGCTGAAGACTGATTTCTGATTACTCTTACTCAAACATATGTGCGTCCAGTGAGGTTGACTTTGAATAGTCATTATGTTACAAGTCTTTATAAAATAAATGAAATGCGATCATTTGCGGAATCCAAGATGTCCTATTTTGAATACCAGGACTCGAATTCAGTACTTTTATCAATAATAAAATTTATTAATGCATACTTTTCCTCTGTTACACCTAATTCGAAAAGCTTACCTGGTCCAATCCCTTCCATATCTTCAGGTGTATAATCAGAATAGATTTTATCCAAAGTAGCTGAAGTAGGACATTGATTAAGCATTTGTAAACAACGACATATTTGATTTAAAGTGACTTTTCGACTTTTTGCCGAAGAAAGTGAATCATAAATACCTATAATTACATACAAAAGAAAATTAAGATCAATATTGAATGGGGGAGATCTATGTCTTTGTAGCCCATATTAAAATTGCCTGGTTCTGAATAGACATTAAAATCAAAGAAAAATTAAACATGATGGAATAGTTGGTTCTCTTTTGTCTCAGTTCGTATAGCTTCCTCAACTACATAAATCTACAGATTTGAAAAAAAGCTCTGTGAAGTTTCCAATAGTTATCAAGCTGAAATTAATCTGTGATGTAAGATATCATCGAAGAGAACTAGTTTGAAGAAAGCTCTTTCCAATGATTTACAGATATATCAAACCATGAATTACCTTAAGAATCTGTACATTTCGATAGGACTATTAATCACTATTTAGTGTTAGTTGGAGAAAAATCAAACATCCAAGGAGCATTGGATAACTCTGTCTTATATTATATTAAGAAATATGTTTCACTACTCTATGTACACATATATGATCAGGTGTAGACACTCAAGTTTCGTGACGAGTACAATAAAGTTGTATTCTTGTTCCTTCCCGTTAACAATAAATCCATCAACTCTATTACTTCGTATTTGTTACACGATTACTAAACCATAAAAGTCTTCACATTTTCAAACATCTAACTAGCACATTAGAAAGTAAAATGAATAATCACAATTACACTTTATTATTCAAACTCGTAAATCATGTGATTATATGCACATAATATAAGGTCATAATACAACACCATTTGTATATCCTGATAGATACGCATAACTGGACCATTTCTGATACGAAGCTGATCAACTGATTTTGGTTAGTTGGCTTATAATTTACGAGTGGCAGAAGATAATATCAGTAATTATGGGGTCGAAAGAAAGCCTACAAATAGACCTATATATAAGAATATCATTAAACATCATTATTAAGTTAGACAATCATTATTATTACTATTATCACTATTATTATTATTATTGTTATTGTTATCATTATTAAATGGTGTACCAAAAGCTGTTGTTTATAATCTAACCAAATCTTAGTTATTCCACATAGCTTATAGCAATTCAGCCTTACAAAATGACATCAGCTGACAAACTATTCTTAGTTTGAGACTTAAGAACAGTGCTTACATCTCCTTAGGTAGTCAAACTTAGATCATTTCAAACCAACCGTGAGCATAATGCTTTTAGATCACTTAGTCAGAATTCAAGGAAATAAATATTCAACTGCAACGAATTCAGAAAAATACAATAGTATTCAATCAACATCGATTACAGTGATGATCTCACTCTAAACATGATTGAACGCCAACAGTCACGAAATTTTGATTAAAACTTTGTGAACCCATTACAAAGCAAAATAATGAGTAGACCCGCACTAATGTGGAATACTTGAATAATCTTCTTGTTTCTTCGGCGTTTCTCAAGAAGATCACGAGTCTCGATTCAGACAAATTTTCTGGTGAAAATTTATTTTATTTCCTTCTAATTTCAGAAAATAGAATTGACTGAATTAATAATTTGACATATTCACAAGTAAATTGCAATGTAGTATTTACCTATCAAAATTAGATTCATGTGTGTGGGATTTTAGACCGGAATAATTAGAACATCTTTTAGAAGTGAGCTGAGACAAGCTTTCTTGTTATCTAAGTAGATCAGAAACTAGTATGTTAATCAATGATTAATGGGTGATATTTGTCACTCATTGATCTCAGTTGCAGTAAAATTTAAAACCAGGGAATACTGGACACCTGTTCTATGGTAGTAGGGGACCCCTTAGCAGTCAATGGAATCCCACTACCCCATCAGGGATCAAGCCCAGAACCCTCTAATTTTGATGAGAAAATAACGAAACTATTCCAAATAACTCGACCATTAAATAAACAATACCAGATTCTAAAGATGTTGTAGAACAGAATTGTTTTACTGTTCAGCTTTAAATGGATTTTCATTAGTCACATACTTTTAATAACACTTTCTTTTAGAATTTGACTATCCTGTCTGCTAACTGGTTGTGCTATTTCATCTTTTGTTTCTCTCTCATCTGAAGGATCCATCTGAAAATGTAAAGAGTAAACAAAAAATTCGATAACACAAAATAGCTTTTGCGGATTATTCAATTTAAGCATAATTCACATTATGAAATAATCTAAGGTAAACAATCATTGAAAACCACGGACCATTGGTCAATTACCTCGTGTTATTATGGTATATTACAACGTTTAAACTAAATTAAGTCATTTTTATTTGTGATATGAACTGTTAAATATCAATTCATCAGAAGACGTGGAAGTTTTAATTTCGATTCCCTGATAGATGATGAATGTGAGCAGCTATGGATTCTCCTATTGATGAAGTCAAGAGCACTCAGCATCGAGGAGTTCCATGCTAGGATAAATGAATATTCTATTGTTCTCTAATTTACAATAGAATCTCAACTAAGATTAATCTCTGACGAATATCATTCATAAATATCATGAATTATTTAGATTTCGATTCAATCTATAATAATGGAATATTCTATTTAAATGACATGGATATCAACATTTGACTATTTTCGAATTTACCTAATATAAACCAGTTAAATCTCTTTCTTTTCAAATTCCTCTACTTTTATTCTACTTTCATATAACCAGCTTCTTGTTGGATTTTATATATATGGATAATGTTGTCATAGAACAATAAACTTTAGTATTCAATAAATTGTTCAATGTCCAATTAAGCGAATTAAGTACTTTTTTAAACAACTCAGGTAATATTGAATGTTTTTCTAGATTATTTTACCCAAATATATTTTAACGATAATAAAAATATCAGAAGGGTTTTTGTGGATATCATAGTAATTTCAATGGTTGAGATCATGAGTCAATTGAAGCTAGACCACCATTGAAAACCTGGAAGCACTGAACGACCGTTTCGTCCTATTGTGGGTCTCCTCAGCAGTGCACATCCACGATAATAATAAACATCTTCAGTTAAAATGAAATCAATTAACTGTTTACCTATCATTACAAAATCTCCTCCTGGAGCTCCTCTGAGGTTACTGACGCTCCTAAGCCCGGATAAAGGAGGAGGGTAGGGAATGGGGTTAGCGACCCCAACCCGTAGAAAACTAACTCTCTAGCCAGAAAAAACGCTATCAACCAATTAAAAGTACTGAATAAATTGTCCTATTTCCTTTACCAATAAATCATCTAAACAAATAGTAATGATATTCTTACTGTCAATTGAAATATATTTACCAAAATTATTCCTGTTAAGTATCATAAAATGGATATAAGAATATTAAACAATAACAACTTAACAACACATTCTCAGATATCTACATACCAAAATCAAATATTTTGATTTAAATCCGTTCTTTTCTATTCATGACCTAGTCATTTCAACACTGATTGGTCAGTTAGTTAGTTAGTTAGTACAATACTGAACAGTAGAGATTTGTTTTCACTCTAAGACTATTTGAGAAGTTTTATCTGATTAGAGGAAATGAGATTAATCCAGTGATGAATAAATAAAAAAGATATGTGCTAAAAATAAATACAAATATAGAATAGTTTTTTTATCCGGTTGTCAAGGTATTCAATGTATATTCAACTACATACACTCAAACAAATATACTTGGGCATGCACAACACAAAAAGCCAGTTACTATAGTTACATATAATAAGAAATTTCTCTGCAAGAAAACATATATATGTACTTACCTGTGTTGTTTGGATCATGAAAATTGTTGTTCAAATTGTGAAACAAAAATAATAATCCTTCAATAATGAAATAACTTCACCCATTTACTGATTTCTATTTTATTTATTTAAAGTACCTTCTTATGGATGATGAAGTCTTAAGTTGATGAAATAGATAATTTATTTTCAATGGGTTAATAATTAATAACCAATGATTGAAAAGTGTATGAATTAGTGTATTACAGGCTTAAGTACTTTTCATTTAAAAATGACTATTACATAATATATATAAATATAATAAAGTACTAATCCATTATTTATTGTAATAAAAGTACACGTTGATAAAAAGTTATTCAAATGATAAGTATCACAACTAATTGATCACTGGGTGGTGATCAATGTCATGTGTGTCAAGTCCTTATTTAGTGCAGATCGAATGCTACCGACCATGTTGCGATGTGGCCACCAGTCTAGGTGACTCGACACTGCGGGCACTATATATTGAGATTAGATGGTGGTTGGAGGTAGTCAATAGGAAACCCTGGACCAGGGTTTCGTACTACTTGGCACTCGTCAACAAGGTGTACCTGTAATCTTGAGGGAACTGGTGCTCCCTGGCGGATTCAAACCCATGTCACCCAGCTTCACAGTCAGAGACGTTACCACTGAGCTATCCGGGCCGCGACCAACCTCCTGTAGGACTGAGATGTAATCAATGTTATGTATATCAAGTCAAGTGTCAAGTGTATTTTCTTCCGAAATCCGAGATCCGTTATATTATACCTGATTGGTTCGTCCATAAATGATAGTCTAGTCTAAAAACCTTTGAATCTCATAAGAGAACTATTGAATTACTATTGAATAATCCATAATTTAAACATAAAATGTTAAGCAACATTATATAACATTAATCAAGTTTAACGAATGAGTTAACTACACTTTGAATGTAATTTCTATTAACTAAAAGAAAACATGGTGATGTAAACCAAAGTATGTATTTCTATCATAACTGCTTGCATGTTCTAAAGTCTTTACGTATCATATTTCAAAACAGTAGAAATTTAATCTTATTCTATTTTCAAATAGCCTTATATCGATGAAATAAGATTTAACTTAACAATACTGAGGGAATTAAAGTTTATTTTTCTGTTTCTTTGTTAACTCTTGCTTCCGCCAGGGAGCACCAGTTCCTTCAAGATTACAGGTACACCTTGCTGACGAGTGCCAAGTAGTACGAAACCCGGGTCCAGGGTTTCCTGTCGACTACCTCAAACCACCATCTAAATGATAAGTATCCATACTAAATACACATTGAATACGTCTAGTGTTTCTTTACTATCAGTAGTTTCTTAAGTGAAAGTTAGCCTACAATATGGAAATAACTTTTTATTCAGTTGTAATCGATAAATAAAAGTGTATCGATAAATCTTATGACTGAACAATAATGGTACCTTCAATGGGAAAAAATAACGAGATTAACATAACCCAAGGGAGAAGGTAAAGACAATAAAAGAAAATTCATGAGTCGATTGAAGCTAGACTACCATAGAAAACCCGGAAGCACTGGACAGCTGTTGCATCCTATTGTGAGTCTCCTCACGATTGCCCATCCACGATTCCGTCTCGCGAGCGAGTACTTAACCTCCAGACCCCTGGGCCGGCATCCAGCGGTATTAATGTCCAACTTCAACCAATCCAGGTTTCTCATGGTGGTCTAGCTTCAACTGACTCATGAATTCATTTACCAAATTACTATAATATGCACAAAATCACTCTCTGATTAAAATTTATTTTTGATCCAATTTTAATCAAAACTATGTCTAAACACATTGATTTATATATCTCATTTACTTATTTGATTATTAGCTAACTTTGGTGTTGTTTTAATGACAGGGAACCTTAAAGCTTCTGTGTTAAACAATGTATCAAAACATTGGTTGATAGGTATAAGTATATTTTGATAATGAACGAATTAGATATTAGAAAGTGACTATTGGATTTTAGAGTGGAATTCGTAATACGATGATAAACAAATTATATCCTAACAAAATGTAAATGACATATGGCAACATTTCGTCAGAAAGATCCTTAAAATTGATAGACATCTTACTATAAATTATGAATGTTTGAAGTTAGCATAAAGTCACTTGAGTTTTGAAACCAAAGAACTTTCTCCTTACGTACTATTCAATACAATTGTACACATTCCCGATTCTAACCCTAAGCTTTTTTATATATTGATTTATTCACTCATGCTACTTGAACTCTGATTGGCTAGATACTGACTTTACTTTTAGGAGTTCATTTTGGAATTCCCTGAAGATCGTCATTAATGTATATTTCCACCTGTTGATAGCATTGAACACACTCACAAAGTACAACAAAATAGCTGTTCAGTTATAATTAGAAATTCTGTAGTTTCCCAACGGATATCAGTACACTTCTGTTAATTACCTTCAGCAATATTTAGGTTAATGAAAATGACATGCTGATATTTAGAACTTAGGTTATCAAACTGATGGCTAATGACGTTAAATGATAAAGATGAACGTTCCAAATGATATAAATAATGTACTGTAAAAAATGAATACAATTAAAGTATTAAATAAAATAACTTTCAATTGTGATACTTCGCATCAGAAAATTCAGTGAATACCAAGGATCCAAAATGATCCAGGTGTTTGAACTTGGCCCGTTAAACAGCCAAAGTAAAAGAAAAAACACTTAACCAAATAAGCAACTAGAATGACAGCTCTGTACAGTCAGGTTAAACGACACTGATCAAATCCTATAACAATCAAGTGTTGTAACGGGTGTGACTGGAGGTTTTGATACGCAGCGTTTTATTGATCGATTACAGTGACACGGTTAACACGTAGTGGATGACCTAGTGCCCCGATTGGCCCTGCTTCGCTGTCCGTCCTAGCCAGTTGAGTGAAGAACACAAGTCACAGCCTCTGAGTTATGAATCATTATATTTCAAACATACTTTGTTTATATACTAGTCAAGCAGACCACAAAATAGAAAATAACATTGTACAATATTGGCCAACAGGAAAATAACACGTTGAATAAATATGGACCAATGGGAAATGTACATTTAAGGTCCAAGGACACCATTGGACTTAACATGATAATTATTGGTCTATTTTTCCGACTACCGAACATCAAGTTTATCCGTAAAAAGTAAAAGATAACCAAGCATATAAGACAAATTAAATGTTGAAGAAAGTAAAGCGTTAGAGAAAACATAGATGGCTTAAAACAATGTGAAATATTGTAATTAGAAGCAGGAAAAGAGCGAAACAATAAATGAAGCAGAAGGCATCGATTTTAAAATGCAACACTAAACACAAATTTCTGTCAGTTTATGAGCAGATAAAACACATTCAACTATTTCCTATTGTCAACATTTTACCAAAGAAAACTATTTACCACAAATTTTATCAATAAGCTGTGCTGAATTTATATGGGAGTCAAGTGACTGGAATTATACTGATGACATGTTTTTTACCAAAACTTATTACTTATTAAACAGAGGTATCTGTAGTGGTAAGTTTGAGAAAAATTATTCATCTTAGATAGACTATTGCTAGCATCAGAATCTAAGACACGCATTTCATTCTATTTGTGATTTATCACCTAGATGTATCTGAGTTTACGTTGATGTTCATATCAATAGTCCAAACTCTCAATGCCACATAGGCTGACCTGCTGAATCTAGATAATCGCTAGTTTGTTCAACGGATGTCATTATCAAGAACGGTATGAGTCATCTCGTTGTTGATATTTAAAAGTGAATTTTGGTCACATCATAAAATTTCATCAAATATTTACTTACATATCAACTGGAAACTGTTTTGAATACCGATTTTCTTTAAGTCAGTGATACAGTAGTGTTGAAGAATCGATACAAAGATCTACGGAGGATTAAAGAAAGAATGTACAAAGAGAAGAACTCAAATGAAGTTCGTAAGCTAAATGGTCTGATAAACCTAGAGATTAGACGTCTCAACTGCATGTTTACTCAAAAACTCTTATCTTGCAAAAACTCTACAAGTATGTGGAAATTCTTTAAAGAACTTACAGGTGACAGAAAGTTTAGAAGCGATAACCAGCTGAATGTTTGTGACTTAAATAAGTCTTTTGTACGTCAGTCATCTGATGTGATGCTCCCTCTATCCACGGGTTTAAAAAATAGCTGTGTTCATACGTTCACTGAAACTGATGTACGAGGATGTCTCCAGTCGCTTAATTCATCTCGATGTTTGGGTCCTGATGGTATCCCAAACCTCCTTTTTAAAAAATGTGCTGACGTTCTGTGTCATCCGTTCACAACTATTTTTAACAGATCTTTCTCATCTAATCTCATACCAAAAATGTGGAGAAAGATGAAGATAATTCCTGTACCCAAGAAAGCATCTGGTGATAAGAATGTAAAATTTAGACCTATTGCAATAACTTCACCTTTCCTCAAAACCATGGAAAAATTATTAATACTTCCACTTCAGCCTGCGATAAAAGAGCATACTGACCCATACCAGTTTGCATACAGGCGCAAAAGAAGCACTTTAGATGCTGTTGCAGTTCTGCATCACAACATAGTGTTCAACTTAGAAAAGGGTAAGAACTATGTTCGATGTGCTTTTCTAGACTATACTTCAGCTTTTGACTCTATACCAAGACAACGTTTACTTAACAAGTTAATCAGCGTCAACACTGACAGCTGGATAACCAACTGGCTGTGTTCCTACCTCTCTGGAAGGGAACAGTACACTGTGTTTGGAGGAAAGAGTTCAGATTCTCTACTGTCTCAGGAAGGTGTACCACAAGGAGCTGTTCTTTCACCTCTTCTATTCTCTTTTTTTCTGCACGACCTGCCATCTTCCACAGAAAACACTTTTGTGAAGTACGCGGATGATCTCACTGTA